TCTCTGTAATTTAGAGACACTTATAAATGAGGTGTTTAACATTTACAAATATTATAAAGTTCTTAAAGGGATAGTTCACCCAAAAATTAAAACTGCATCATGTCATTCCAAACCTGTATGACTTTCTTTCTTCTGTGGAACATAAAAGAAGATATTTTGAGAAATTCAAGAAATGTTTGTCCATACAGTAGAAATCAAGAGTAACCAAAATGGTTTGGTAACATTCTACAAAACATCTTTTGTGTTTTACAGAAGAAAGTAAGTCATACAGGTTTGGAAAGACATGAGGGTGAGGAAAGGATGACAGCGTTTATTAGCAGTAAATTTCCTATGTTCTAGCACAAAATCAATGCTTATACTGTCAAGTGCATTTCTATGTGACAAAAATGCAGTAGGCTATTAGTTTGTTGCATTTGCTGTGAATTCAGTAATATATCATTATTTGTTTTTGTCCTCATTTATTTATTTACTTACTCCAGTTGAAGGCCCTATAACACAGCGAAACATTCACAGGGGACCTTGAGGGCCGGATAGGCTGGATTTGTCCAGGGCCGAATTTGAACTCCAGTCCAGCCATGTACCCATCACTATGCAACAAATAATGGCGTGGCGGGTGCACTGGTTTCCTTTGCATTGAAGCAATAACGAAAAGTCAAAAAATGCCTGAAGACTCACATCGTGTCTACACCAGTTGCGACAAAATACTATAGATCCCATTATAATCGGTGATGCAGCCTACACTGGATGTGGCACAGCACAGCACGACAAATCCCCGACAGTAAACTGATGCCTCGTTCTATTTATGACGTAGGCCTACTGTTTGACAAAGTACAAATGATTTGCAATGGTCACTTTGTCGCATCCAGTGTGGACAGCCTTAAGCTGTTGGCTTACCTCTGGCCTTTTTTTTCATAATTTATTTGTTTAATTTTTTTGGCTAGTAGAAATTATGAATGGCCGGTAACTTAAAAATGTAGTAGCCAAATTGGCTGGTGAGTGAAAAAGTTCATTTCAAACCCTGTATATATATATATATACACACACACTGTACATCCAAATAGAAAACAGTTGTTTTGGGTCACACTTTATATTAAGGTTCAGTTTTCGCCATTAACAAACCATTAACTATGACTTTTGTCTCAATAAACTCCTAATTTGCTGCTTATTATTTGCGATAACCAAGCAAACCAGCTTATTTAAGATAGTTGTTAAATTTAGGTAATGGGTGGGATTAGGGATATAGAATATGGTCATGCAGAATATGTGCTTTATCAGTAATAATAAACTGCCAATATGTTAATAATAGGCATGCTGTTAAGCAACTACACTGTAAAAAAAAAAATCCGTAAAATTTACGGTAAAAAAACGGCAGCTGTGGTTACCGGAATTTTACCGTAAAAAATACGGTAGCAACGTTTTAGGTTTTAACTTAAATTTACAGTTAAATACCGTAATTTCATTAACTGATATAATGTTAATATACCAACCTATTGAAGTACTGAAATCTGTTTTGTACCTTTGTAATACACTGATAACCACCAAATGCAGGTGTTGATGAGAAAGTCACACGGTGAACCAAAGCCCGTCACAAGCAGCTTTTAAATAATAACATATATAGAAGGTGCACAGTGTCATTCACACAGACACTAAACACCATCATGGTAACACACATGAAACTGAAATAATGCAATAACCATTCATTTAACAACATTAGGTGTTAACACAACCCTAATATACAAAACTGATAAGAAAAAACTAAGAAGAAACATAGTTATTTCAACAAAAAAAGTAGCATTTTTACAGTCTTTTACCATTAAATTCACGGTCATTTTTTACAGTGTAGTTAATAGTGAAAATTGGTCCGTTTACTAAAGTGTTACCTTAAATTGTAATAATATCCCACAATATGACTGTTTTCACTGCAATTTTGATCAAATAAATGCATCCTTGGTGGTTCTATATACTGTTGAAGACGTACACTGACACAAATGCATGACCAAAAAACACAATATCACCATGGTGTATGTAAAAGTATTGCCATGGTACCATGGGTAAAAAACAGTGTCAACACTGACCTCCAAGTGTTTCCTGACCCAAGTGGCCAGTTCTAGTTACCCATAATGATACATATTCATTCCCTAGCAAGAAAATAACTGTAACATAAAGATGAGAAGGACCAGAATCCGGGCACAGGTTCAAGACGGTGACGCTGGTGCCCTTCTAAAGCAATGGAGGAGGAGTGCGCATTCTGCGCAACGCAGAGCAGAGCAGAGGAGAGGAGAGGGAGGGAACCTGCTGCATTCAGTAGCCCAGAGACAGTTTATTCCGTAGAGCTTTTCATCAACACTGTGCAGTTTATGAGAGAGCGAAGGAGTACGTGTTTATTTAGTTCTCAGCGCGTAAATTATGTAGAATAACCGCGCAAGTGCGATTTTATTGCAGTTATATAAAAAAGCTCCAGTGACTGCCTGCACTGAACTTTAAATAGCGACTTTAAAAGTGAACCGTAGGGGTTTTAGAAAAACAAGTTGAATAGAAAGTGCGCTAGGCGATGTAGACGCGTTAAAACGTCCAGAACTGACTGTCATTTTGGATTAAAGTCCACCATGGATGTCCGCGCAGCGCTCATGTGTGTTTTGTTCAGCGTGCTTCTGTGGGCAGGAGACGCTCAGCACTCGGTACCTGATTCAGGTGAGTCGTTTCACTCACGTTTTCATTCGGAGCTCAGTATGAGATTGTACTGAATCATATACTTTTATTCAGGACTCGGTACATAATTTACGCGAAGCGCATGTTTTAATTCGGAACTCGGTGTGTCAGGACTCAAAACCAGAATGATAGGCTATGTTTTGCTTCAAGTAAGACTCAGTATGTGATTTAGGTGAACTATATTGGACTATATTGAAACACATTGTTTATGTCATTCAGGTGAACCATTACAGTTCTCTATACCTAATTCAGATGAATCACATAGGTTTATTCAAGACTCCGTCGCCTGATTTAAGTGAGTCATGTCTCAGGACAGGTGAGTCATGTAGGTCATTACCTGATTTAAAAGAGTCGATCATCTTTTATTTAGCAAAACAAAGAAACCTACACTCTAAAAAATGCTGGGTTAAATACTACCCAGTGCTGGGTAAAATAGAGACAAACCCAGCAATTGGGTTGTTTTGACCCAGCGGTTGGGTTACTACCCAGAAGGTTGTGTTAAAACAGCCCAATTGCTGGGTTTGTCCCTATTTTACCCAGCACTGGGTTGTATTTAACCCAGCATTTTTTTTAGAATGTACATAGTTATTCATGTTTGCGAATAGCGGTTGCATATTAACTCATGTTAGCATGTAGAACCTTATTAAAGTGTTAACAATTTATTTAATAATAAGTCCAGAACAAACGCGTGAGTTTAAATAATCATTGCTAATGTAAATCATTGACCAATGAGTTAACGTTAACCTTAATATGGAATTCTATTCTATTTAGTTCTAGTCTTGAGTAGATAAAGAACTTAAAGCCCTTTAAACAATAAATGAAAGAAGGAATACGGAGGTCATTTCTGATAAACATGACTGAGGGAGCAGCAGAATATATACATTACAAACATGCGAGCTAGACAGAAAACATGTGTAAACGCATTTTGCTTCATGCGGCGTGTCAGGGGATTCTTGTCCTCTAAAGCAGTGGGTCCCAACCCTGCTCCTGGAGGCACCCCAACACTGCACGTTTTGCATGTCTCCTTAATCAAACACACCTGATTCAGGTCATCATCTCATTAGTAGAGACTCCAAGACCTGAAACTGGAGTGTCAGAGAAAGGAGACATGCAAAATGTGCAGTGTTGGGGTGCCTCAAGGACCAGGGTTGGGAACCACTGCTCTAAAGCATATGGCCCAAGTTTAAGTGACCCGAGCAAAAGAGAAATTGAAAACAGCCAAATACTTCATAGTATTTGTTAGCATTTTCTCTCTGGGTGTCATCTTATATATTTTGTTGTGTTAAATAAAATTCTATAATTGAAGTGACTGCATTACATTTTCAGATCTCACAAATGACAGTGAGTATTAGCTGTATGAATAGAACTGCAATAACTTGCTGTCAGCACATCGCTGACATACATATTGAGTGAGGCGAGCGAATTAAAGGACTCTTCCTGTCACTCACTAATGTTAGGCTATCAACCGGCTCTAGGGTTATGAGAAACCTATTAAATGCCAGAAAATAGAGGCATTGTGTACATTTTGCTTCTGCTGATGTCTGTCATGACAACCCACTGAAATCATGAAACGCATGATAGAAGATAAGCAACAGAGGAATTTATGCATGCACTGTATTGAAAAGCACTCACTATTCACTACATAGTGGAAGTCACATACAGTAGTTATATGAGGAACGAGAGAGACAAAAGATTAGGTTCCTTGATTTTCTGCTATGCAGACTACACATCCAAACAGATTTGAGTTAGATATGCCACAAAAAAATACATTTTAGTCAGATTTCAAGTAGCACATGGATTTTTATATGGATTTGCAAAAATCAATCTTCAAGTGTTTAATATGGAAGCTTGTTTCTGCTGCGGGAAGGAAGGTCAAAATGTAATTGTCACTTTTTATCTCACTTTTTATTCAGGCTTTTATCCTTGCAATTCAGAGTTTATATCCCACATTTTTTCCTTAAATAAGTCAGAACTTACCACAATACAAACATAGAATTGTGAGGCACAAATACAGAACTGTAAGATATAAACACAATTCCGAGAGAAAAAGTTGAGAGATGTTCATTTGGTCGCAATTGTGAGACATAACCTCATAATTGCAAGAAAAAAGTCAGAATTGTGAGATAAAAAGTCCATGGCGAAAACAAAAACAAACAAACAAAAAAAATTGTGAGATGTAAACTCAGAATTCATTGAAAAAGTCAGAATTGCAGACAAAAATATAGACACAGAATTCTGAGAAACAAAATGTCAGAATTAAAAAAAAGTCACAATTCTGAGTTTATATATCGCAATTCTGCATGTATTTCTTGTAATTCTGTGTAAAAAAAAGTCAGAAAAATAGTGAGATGATAAGTCGCAATTACTTTGGTAGAATACAAGCTTCCATAATTTACTACAGTTCAGACTATAAAAAAAGAAATCAGATAAGAATCTGATATGCCAAAAAAAACTATTTTTTTGCTGCCTGTTTGAACAAAACCATAGACACACCAACAGTGACTCACAGAGAGTAATTCTGGAAGAGCCTTGAGCATTTTGGCTTTGACTGCAGGAGTTTCTGTGCAAAGTGCCACCGCACCCTGCTTCCAAGCGGTCTGGCAAAGGTCAATTATTTAGCAGTCACGGGTTCAAGTGACCCGATGGGCTCTTTTCTCTTAGCAAAGCAGAAGAAAACTATGCAAAGTATACACACGGTTTTAGATTTCATCCGAATTCATTGGTGAAACAGGACTTTTGTCACCAAAACGGGGCTACAAATATTTTTGCAATAGTGCAAAATGCTTAAGATTCACAAGATTCTCTTGTAATTCGATACAAATTGGTTTGGACGCCTCCAGTTCTTCTCACAGGACTTGGGTGGGCGACTTTTTTGGATTGTCTTAGGTTGCAAACGCTTGGCTCTCTGAGGCCTCTTGCCCACTCGCTCTCTCTTGCTCTTTTCTGCACACTCGCTTTCTTCCTCTTCAGGGGCTTCTGGAAAAGCCTCTACATTCCGTCGTTTACTTCATATGGAACAGCCAATTCTCACCTCCCCCCTTTTTCTCCATGCCCGCCCGCCGTCGTCCGTCCGCCTCCCGCTTATAACATCCAGTAGCAGGGCTGTTCCTTCCCCCATCTGTTTATGTTTATCATGCAGCTCCAGGTTGGAGGGCTCCTCTGCCAGGAAATTCCTGTAACGGCCAAATCAAATGTTCCATCTCCTGAAATATTGTGAAGCTCCCAGTTCTTCCTTATGCTGATTAATACTACTGTTTTCTTATCCTTATTTTTAGCATCTACCGTTCAAGCCCACTTCCTTCGCAAATGACTGATTTCCTCACTCGATTTGACACTTATCTCCGTTTGGCCGTTCTTTCTCAGAGTTTCTCCCAATTATATTGTGTTCACTATAAACATTTAACAAGTTTGTGGTCAGTTAAGAGGGAGTGCGTGTACACGGCCTCCGAACTTGTAAAAACTTGTTTGTCAACTTCAATCTGAAGCTGTGAAACTGAATTAATAAGACTGAAGGTCTGCACAATTTTATTATACTGATAAAATATCTGATAAAAGTTGCGATTGCAATTTAAAATGCGAGTTTAAAAAAAATCTCCAGGTTTGCTGTGCTTGTCTGCACAATTTGGCCAAAAATGCACTGATTATATATCAATATGACTATAAAATAATGACAAGAATATTTTTTTATTATTACTAAATAATATATTAGTATTTAAAACATTTTTATTTAGTAAACATTATTAACAAAATAAGAAATATTATTATAATTAAATATTCACTTTATAAAAAAATGCATGCACAACAAAAAATGAATTATTGTTATTAATTCAAAATTAAAACTTAATAAATATATACATATATTTAATATTTAATTAATAATAATAATAATAATAAATTATTTTGTTGCAAATTAATTGCATTTTTATATTTCATATTATTATTATTTTATTCATATTATTTCTATTTCTAAATAAATTAATATTTATTTAATTAATCAGAGTAATCATGCAGCCCTACAAAACTATCAAACCCTCTTAAAGACACAGTTCACCCCCCCTAAAAACAAAACAAATAAAAACATCTTCCGTCATCATTTACTCACCCTCATATCGTTCAGAACTTTTATGACTTTGTTTCTTAATGTTTTGTGATCTCAGTGTTTTTCTTTCCATACAATGAAAATCAATGTTGTTCAAAACCCCAAAACAGCTCAAACATTCTTTCAGTACCTGAGGGTGAGTTAATGATAACAGAAGTTTAATATCTGGTTGAACCAGGCCTTTAAATATTAAACCTGGGGCTTGTTTATGCATGAATGACAGATAAAATCATGTGGCTTTTCTTAACTAATCAAACTTAGGATTTAAAAAGGGCAAAAGTCCCATGGGCATATATTATGCAATCTTATAAATTAAGGATAAATTAAAGGATCAAATCATGTGGCTTTTGTTAACCAATAAAACTTACGATTTACAGCTGGCACAATAACGATTATGCAATCTTTTAAATTAAGGTTTCAGTTGTGGGTTTTTGCAGTGATGCCATAGAAAAAAAACATCTTTGGCTCCTTAAAAAACCTTTCAGTGAACAGTTCTTAAAAGAACCAATTTTACAAAGGAATGAAAAGGTTCCATTTATGTTAAAGGTTCTTCATGGAACCATAGATGCCAATAAAGAACCTTTATTTTTAAGAGTGTACAACCAAAGCCTGTATATGTACTCGCACAGAGTTCTCCTCATGCCTTGGAAAGTCTGGAGTGTTTTAGTGCTGCTATGTGCTAAATAAACACTCATCTCCCCCCTCTTGAGATGTTAAAGCATAGATCATTTCCTTAAATGTGTACTGTTGTTTTTCACCTACAGTTTTAAACTGCTGCGAGGGCGATGTCCTCTTCCTCCTGGACTCCTCTGGTAGCGTGGCCTCCTACGAGTTCTTCCGTATGGTGGACTTCCTCAAGGAGCTCCTGCTGCCTTTCTCGTTGGGGCCGGATCAGGTGAGGGTGGGACTGCTGCAGGTTGGGACCGAACCCCATCTGGAGTTCAGCTTTGACACCTACAGCTCCCAGGACGGACTGCAGGCGGCCCTGGAGAGGACTAAACAGCTGAAGGGCGACACGAACACGGTGGATGCTCTCCTGATGGCTAGGAACCAGGTTTTGAAACAGGGCGTGCCGGGAGGTGCCAGACCAGATCTGCCCAGGGTTCTGGTGTGGCTCACGGATGGAGTGGATCCCGGCGAGGTGCAGGAACCAATGGCGAGGCTGCGGGAAGAGGGCGTGGCCATCCTGGTGGTTTCCACTGGTCACGGGAACTATCAGGTGCTGAGAGAGGCTGTGAGTCCACCCGCCGAGGAGCACCTGTTCTTTGTGGACATTGATGATATCAACATCATCAGCGAAGACTTGAGGAACGCAATTATTGGTGTGTTTTTTATCAAATGTCTCAAAACTGAAAAAAAAAACTACATTTTGTTATCACGTACCCTCAATACATTACAAACCTGTATGGCTTTTTCTTCTATTGAACACAAAGGCAGATGTTCAGAAATTCAGGATGATATTTTCCATACTACAAAAGTAAATATTGACCATGGACCAAGCTCCAAAGAAGCAAAAAAATAAGTAAATAAATAAAATAAAAAATTTAAATAAATAAATCATTTATTGTTATTATTAATTCAGTATTAAATATGTAATATATTTTAGTGATATTGCAATGTAATTTTAACTAATTTATTATTACAATAATAAGAATGTAATGAGAAGTTCATGATGATCTTGATCTTGATGATCCATACTAGAAAAGTAAATACTGAACACGGACTGTCAAGATCCAAAACAGACAAAAAACCCTAATAATAATAATAATAATAATTATTATTATTATTATAACAATTATAATATAATAATTCAATATTAACAATGTTTTCATATATTTTAATAATTAATTTAATATATTTTATATATATATATATAAAAAAACAATAATTTCAGCCATTTCAAGTGTAAAATAGTTTAAGACATGCTTTTTTGGGGGCAAATATCAGTAATTTGATGAGCACAAACAGTAAATATAGTTGCGTAATTCATATACTCCCCTCCCATACATTTTGCGTCTGAAAGGGAAACTCCTACAAATGCATATTCAATAAGGTCAGGCACAAAAAATAACTGTGTCCATGCCTTTTCAGCGCTAATTCTTCACTGCGCGTCTTTAGTAAAGCCTGACAGTACTATTTTAACGCCAAAAGATGTTTGCGCTGGTGCAAGCTGTTAGTAAAACTGGCCCTTAATATATTCATATATTTTTTATAATATTAAAATGGAATTTTAAGTATTTTCTTACAACAGTAAGAATCTAATGAGAACTACAAATGATTGAATATCATTTCTATTTACTGAAAGAAGTGAAAAATAACCAAAACAAAATGAATAAATACATATACTGAAACTTTCAAACAAACTTAAAGGTGAAATGTTGGGACTCAAAACATATTCACTGTTAAAGTAAATGTGAAATAAAATAACCATAAAACACCATAAAAGCAGTCAATTCGACTGCTGTATATATTCTTCTGAAATTGTACTATTTATGTGCGGAACATACTGGAATATAAATAGTTATTTACTGAAAATTTCATAAATCATAAAAAAACCATACTTGTAGAAATGAGAAGTTTGAATTGAAATTATAAAGGAAATATAAGAATTATTGCTTTAATCCAACTCAAATGAAAACACAAAATTCTTGACACTTTACAAACAGACCCTGATTTCATATTTCATTCAAAGTCACAGTCAATCTTATGAGAGCGTTTTCTAAACAGGGAAAGTGATCTGATGTGAGTGTGAATATCTCCGTACCTCTGCCCCAGTGTGCCGAAGGAATCTCGAATGCCAGTCAACGCCGACACAAATAGCTTGAGACGGCTCAAAGAGAAGAAGGGCCTGGAGGAACCCGCAGACACTGTAATGGGAGATGAGGGCTATTTATACAGAAATTATTTTGGCCTTTTGGACCCCCGGCAAAGTCCCCCGGAGCGCTAGACGTTGCTATTATTAGTGGGCATTCTTCCGCACATATATAAGGCATTTCATATGTGCAACTTCCAGACACTTACATAAACAAACGCATAGATCGCACGCAGTAATTCAGAGCAGGTGGTGCCATGTCCTTTTAGAAACTGCCCTAGGCATGGATTTAGTGACTTGAGTCACTCGTTTAATTTCAGCCATCTCTTATTTCTCTCAAATCAAATGCAGAGATTATTCCGGAAATTACGCTTTGCATAATGAAAATGATTTTTATGACCATTACTCGTTTTGTTGTTGTTGTTGTTGTTGTGTATTTAACAGTTAATTTGTGCTTGTAAGGATTATAGTATTATTATTAATTAGCATTAAATATGAACATTAAATGTATTATTATTAGTATTACTTGCATTAATTAGATATGTTTAACATTATATTTACTAATATTTGTAATAATTAGTTTTATTATTAGCATTAAATAGCATTCATTAAATTAACATTAAATGTATTAATAATAAAAAAAATAATAAACTAAGTAACTACACTTCACATAATTAAATGGATCTTTGACTATTACTTTTTATGTTGTGTCTTAAACGTTTAATTTATGCTTAGAATAAATATTATTGTTATTATTATTTAATAAATATGATCATTAAATGTATTATTTTTTAATAATTGTAATAACTATTGTTATTATAAGCATTAATTATGATAATTAAAATATTATTTATTATTAGTAGTATTATTAATTTTGGGGGGAATTAATATTACCATTAGCATTCAATAATTGAACATTAAATATACGAACAATAATAATAAAAAATAAGAAATAAGAAAAAAGTACACTTCACATAATGAAAAAAATGTTTTATGACCAAAACTTTTTTTGTGTGCCTTTAGCGTTTAATTTATGCTTATAATAATAATAATTAGTAGTAGTGGTACTAATGTATTTATTAATTAGTATTAATTAATCAAATGTATTATTATTATCATTAGCATTTTTTAGATATCATTAATTAAAAATGAATATTATATTTATTATTATTTTAATAATAATGTGCAACTTCCAAACACTTAACACATAAAAAACTCAGGAGCAGGTGGTGTCATGTCCTTTTAGAAACTGCCCTAGACATGGATTTAGTGACTGGAGTGATTAATTTAATTTCAGCCATCTCTTATTTCTCTTTCTCTCTGATTAAACACAGAGATTATCCGGGCCGAGAGGCTACAGGTGAAGTCGGTCACCACCACTACAGCTCAGCTGGAATGGAGGCCTGTGTTGGCCGGCACCGGCTACTATGATATCCAGTTTGGTCCCATCCGATCAGGGCAGACCGGAGGGACGGGAGGTCCAGGCACCAGTCCTGGCACTGGTTTGGGTCCTTTTCAGAGGATCACGCGACCCGGAGATGCCAGCTCTGCGAAGCTGACTGACCTGCGTCCAGACACCACGTACACAGTCACGCTCACACCAAAGGCCAACCTGGAGTTCCTCAACTCTCTTCACACCACCTTCACTACCCAGCCAGGTGCAGATCTCTCAATAATATATCCAGATCAGATTTCGTCCAAAAATCAAAAGCAGAAGAAAAAATTCGATATTTTGCATAATATATATATATTACTTTTTTGGTGCACCTTGTTTCATTTATGCTTATAATAATAATAATAATATTAATTATTATTATTGCTTATATATTATATTGCTTAATATTATATTATATTAGCTTAATATTGTTATTGTTAATGTTGTTATAGCACTTGTATGTCATTGCTCTTTGATCTTTGTTGATTTTGATTGCTTCTATTGTCCTCATTTCTAAGTCGCTTTGGATAAAAGCGTCTGATAAATGACTAAATGTAATAATAATAGTAATTATTATTAGTAGTAGTAGTAGTAGTATCATTAAATATGAATATTCAATTCATTATTATTATTAACGTTAAATAAATATAATGATAATTATAAAAAAAAAAGAAAAAAGAAAAAAAAAAAAGGGGGGAGTCGTGGCCTAATGGTTAGAGAGTCTGACTCATAACCCAAAGGTTGTGGGTTTGAGTCTCGTACCGGGATTTTTAAATATAGGAAATGAATTAGAATTTCCAAAGCATTCTGAGTTTAATTTAGAAAATGGAGATATCTAGTTACTTGTTTGTCATTTTGATGTATTGATTTGGTTTCTGCAGACTGCTGATTCATTTTTGTGGGCCAACCTAGAAGTTAACATCACTTTTTGGTTCCCTCGACAAAATACCAATAGAAGTTAATAAGCTCTGTGACCAACAAAAGATTATAATTTTATTTGATTATAAAGTTTTGTTAAGATAATCTTTACAAATGAACACTTTTATGATTTTTTATAAATTTTATGAGTTAGGCTATAAATATGCTGTACTATTTTTTATGTTTTTGAAAGAAGTCAACAGGGCTTCATTTATTTGATCACAACTACAGTAAAAACAGTTAAAATGTGAAATATTATTATAATTTCAAATAACTGTTTCTATTATTTTAAAATGTAATTTATTCCTGTGATGTGTTATGTGATCCTTCAGAAATCATTCTAAAATGCTGATTTGCTGCTCAAGAAACATTTCTTATTATCAAAGTTAAAAACTGTTGTGCTGCTTAATATTTTTGTGGGAGCATGATATATTTTTCTTCAGGATTCTTTGATGAATAGAAAGTTCAAAAGAGCAGCATTTATTTGAAGTAGAAGTCTTTAGTAACATTATAAATGCCTTTACTGTCACTTTTGATCAATTCAATGCATTCTTTCTGATTAAAAGTACTAATTTCTTTTTAAAAATTGAACTGACCCCAAACTAATTATTTATTAACTAAATATTAGTATTAACTAAAACTTGTTTTAATTCATTGGAAGCATTTGGAATGAGATGCTTTCCAATGGGACAACCCTATTTTAATGTTCCTGCCAATATCATTCCCACATCCCCTCCCTCGAATTCCCAGCAAGAAGTGGGAAGCCTGACCTCTCTCTCTGTTTCTCTCAGTGTTGCCAGCTCTCTCAGATCTGCAGCTGACCACAGTGGGCAATGAGTCAGTGCAGCTCCGCTGGAAGGGGAGTTACGATGGTCTCCGTGGTTACTGGGTCACATGGGAGCGAGGTCAGAGCCAGCGCTCCACCCTGTATCTACCACCCAACCGGCTCTCCACCACCCTCAACCATGTGCCCTCCAGGGCCCGCGTCTGCGTCTCTCCAGTGTACCGGACGGCCCGTGGGGAGGGACTCTGCTGCACTGCTTAAATGGGCTCCGGTGAGGCGCCTGTCAGGGAAACATGGGGATTATGGGTTATTTTATATTATGAAATAAGTAGCTGTATTTAATTTTTTGAATAATGAAAGCAAAAATATACACCTTAATATGATTGCTTCTCCGAAATCAACAATACAGCTAGTTATTCCACTTTGAAATGTGTGTTCTGTGTCAGAATATCTGTTTTTATTTTGGTCTGCGTGATTCCGTCCACTGCCAACTTAAAGGGATAGTTCACCCAAAAATGAAAATTCTGTCATTAATTACTCGCCCTCATGTCGTCCCAAACCCGTAAGACCTTCGTTCATCTTCGGAACACAAATTAAAGGTGCACTAAGCGAATTTTCCCAGACGATGTTGACATTTGAAAGCACCAAAACAAACACGGCCATACCCCAACAGGACCTCGCCCCTATTTTGATATCTCCGCCCCACACGTACGTACACAACCATGGCAACGATGATGGCAGAATCTGCCAGCCGAGGGTCTGAAGAGACGCAAAGCAGTTTAAAGCAGTTTAAAGCAGAGTCCTGTACGGGTCCTGTTTGGTAAACGCGCACCAGCAGTACTTAACAGAACACTCGACCTGTTATCCAACAGCAGCACTAATTTAATTCTGTACCAGACCAGAACCGTTTGACATAACAAAGACTGTGAGTCGCAACCCGAACCGCACCCGCATTAAATCTATTACATCAGGGAGGCTAAATTATTTACTTTCTCATGTAACAAAAGCAATCAAACCAAAATTAAGGATTCTAAGTTGGTGCATGCAACGTAGCACAATGTGATAATTAGGCAAACAGAAAAAAAGATGAGAACGCGCATCCTTTCTGTAAACAATACAAAACTTTAGCCTAGCATCTTATGATCACTCTGCCAGGCTTTCGGACAAATGTGCATAGGCTAAATCACATCATACACACACTTATAATTCTTCATAAATGAAAAGAACATATTCAAATATGAGCCTTTACTGTTAAATGCGATTGCCGTTATTATGGAATTTCATTAGTCCCAGTTATGATTTATGCGCAGTTGTTCACGGAAAAGTGAGCAAGACACAACAGTTAGCCTACAATATCATGATTATGGTTAAATAAGAAAAAAGACATCTAACCATCATAACCAAATAGGCTACATTTATTGTCATATTAAATATCCCAATACACATCATTAGATATGACATAAGCACAACTTGTGTAGATTTATTTAGTAAAAAGGCTTGACTGCTTCATTTTGGCGTATATTTGTATGCTTTTACCATTAAATCAACCTCAGCTCACTGACTCGATCCTAATGATCTGAGTGGTCTGTTAGGTTTATATTCAGTGAGCATATCTGCAATGTATTTAGGTCCTAGGCCATTGAGTGATTATATACAAGTAAAAGTACTTAAGTGTAACAACAAGTTTCTCCAAATCTTGACTGGAAACAAAACATCTAATTCTTGCAATGTTTTTGAGATGACAGTATGCTGATTTAGTTACTGCTTTGACATGACTACTGAAACTAAGGTCTGTCTCCAGAATCACACCAAGATTCTTGACTTGACTTTTAGTTGTTTGACCCCTAGAATCAAGGTATGCATTCACCTTGAGAACTTCATCTTTGTTTCCAAATGCAATGACTTTCTCCTTGATTAAATGAAGAATGTTCTGGCACATCCAAATGTTAATTTCATCAATGCATTTGCCGAGGGAGTCAATGGGGCTATAGTCATTAAATCTGGGTATCATCAGCATAGCTGTGATAAGCAATTTGGTTCTTTCTCATTATTTTACTTAGTGGGAGCACATACAAGCTAAACAAGAGTGGTGCAAGAATTGAGCCTTGTGGGACTCCGGCATGTCATGGACGTTCACTTAGACTTATGCTCTCCTATACTCACATAATAACTTCTCCCTTCTAAATATGACCTGAACCATTTGAGTACCATTCTACCTGACCTAAAAAGCCTCTGCATCCAACTAAAAAGTTTTTTTTATAGCAGAGGCATAATAAAACATGGATAAATCAACTCATCAACTTGCAGTGTAAGGCTTGTCGCAATCGTTCCTGTTGCGTGTCAGCAATCTGGCAAACCGAAAAAGGGGGCGGGAGAAACAACTCTGCAATATTTAGAATTTGGACTGCAGAACACATTTCAACTGCTAGCTTTCAATATTACATACTGCACCTTTAACCCTGTAAAACCTGACATAAGAAATAATAGACAAAACTTTAAAAAATCTACACAAAAATTTGCATATGTGTTTTTGTTGAGTATCATATTTGGGTCTGAGGAGGTTGTTATCAGGTCATCAGGTTTTTATGACTCACATAATATGATATAGGAGAATTCAGTCCAGTAAGTGTTCATCCTGAAATATTACCAACAATATAAAAGTTGTTTACTTTATAAAAATCAGTAAATATTTCACAGCAAAAAGACACGTGAACCACAACCTGAAGGTGGACTTTCTTACAGTGATCCTTTTTTTTATAAACATGTTAACAAAGTTTTGCCGTTGATAATTTAGAGACATTTGCGTATCAAATATAATACTGTAGGCTTTTTAGGGTTAAAGGTGAATTGAGAAATTTTACCACAGAATTGCATGACATACATTGGATGAACAAACAAAAAACTCATTATTAAGCTTTTTACCTTGCACTAATTTTTAAACAAACATTTATTATAATAAGCACCTTCTGTTTGTGTTACCACAGCTGCATTGACCTGGAACTGTGGAGGGCCATTCTGCCAAATACGAAATATGGTGGAATAAACAACACCAAAAACTTCCCACAAATAGACAAGATGGGAGGACAGGGGAGTCCAGGACGCTGTAGCTGTTTGGATACTCATCACCCATAGATGGTGATCTTTAAACACACCCACACAACATGCACTGACAAACAAGCTCCTACCCACACTTCTAACACAGAGACTAAATGAGTCTGAACTCAAAAGTGACCTTCTGAAGAATCAGACTTTTAAAGGAATGTTTCGGGTTCAAGTTCAGTGCTATTGAGAGCTGAGATATGTGGCTTGCCGTGCATTACCGAAGACCAGAGTTTATATCTCGCAATTTGGACTTTGTTTCTTCCAATTCGTACTTTTTTCCTTTAAAAATTGCACGAAATAAGGTCCGTGTAATGCTTCACAGTTCAATTTTAAGACCATATGGAGCAAATGCAAAAATGAAAAAATCAAACCAAACATTCATTTTTTTCAACTACTTCATAAATGAACAATTGCCATTTTCTTTCCTTTTTTAAATTTTACTTTTGCTAAATTGTGACTTCAGAAATGATCATTGGAATAAATAAAATCGAAACAATTTTCTATTTTTCCTTTTTCTTACAATTTACCTGTGGGCTGTACCATTAGCACGGGGGTGTGGCCGCAGACTGTTTCACAAACGCTTAAAGTGGCTTAATGTATCCTACTAAAACAGTGACACTGGAGGACACACCTTATTAATAATAAACATATAGGCTGCTATTTACAGACAAGCAGAATAGCCCAGAACATGAAAGCAAATTGCGCTAAATTGCACGTTAAGTGTTTTGTGCCTCACTGAAAACCTAAAGAAAATACGTGACTCAGTGGACTAAGACAGTGGTATAAATTAAAAAGCCCAAACTCTGTATATGTATTAATACAATGTATTAATAAAGTATAGGTTACTAGGTACAGGAAAGCAGATGAGAATATGAATGCTACACGCTAAACTGTTATCCTCCCATAGGCTTAATGGAAGAAGATGGTGTAAAAGTATGGCCAAATTCGGTATACACCTTATTAATGTTGCAAACTATATTGCCTTGCCTACTGGGAAGCAGATGTGACTGGAATATGAACTCGACACGCAAAGACTCAAGTTTTCGTTTTCCTCCCTTTGAAAACTATTATTTGAAAGTGCTTAATATGGCTTAATGCATTAAGACAGTGATTAAAAAAGCAAAGCATACACCTTATTAATAAAGCATAGCCTACTATTTACACACAAGCAGAAGAGCCCAGAATGAACACAATGCGCAAGTTTCACGTGAAGCATTTTCTATGGGAGGAAATCGCTTCACGTGAAATTTTGCGTGTTGCGTTCATATTCAGACACTTAACATGCAATTTGCTTTCATATTCATTTTTAAGTCACAATTTAGTAAACTGAAAAAAGGAGAGAAAATGGCAATTATTAATTTATGAACTGAAAAAAATGAATGTTTGGTTGAATTTTTTTCATTTTTGCATTTGCCCCATATCGTCTGAAAATTTAATTGTGAAGCGTTACACGGACTAAATAAACTCACAACTCTTTTTTCTCACAATTCTGAGTTTAAATCGGTTTTTTTTTTCTTTCTCAGAATAATGTTTTTTTTGCCACAGAATAAAAAATTATAATTGTGACTTTTTCTTGCTATTGCAAGCTTTTATCTCACAATTCAGACTTTTTTTTTTTTAAATTATGAAGATATAAACAGAATTGCAAGATATAAACTCGCCATTCTTTTTTTCTCACAGCTCAATTTTCACTTTTTGTTTCTCAGAATTCTGAGTTTACATCTCGCAATTCATTTTTTTGTTTGTTTCTTCTATGGAATAAAAAAGAAAGTTAATTGCGACTTTTTCTTGCGAGTTTATAGCTCACAATTCAACCTTTTGCGAGTTCATATCTGACAATTTTGAGTTTATCTCTCACAATTTGGACTTTGTTTCTTATAATTCTAAGGAAAAAAGTAAGAATGGCAAGATATAAACTGAATTGCTAGATATAAACTCAATTCTTTTTTGACACAATTCTGAGTGTATAATTTGATTTTTTTTCTCAGAATTCGGAGTTTACATCTCATAATTCTGTTTTTTGTTTGTTTCCACCACAGAAAAAAGTTAATTGAAAGCTTTTTTTTCTTGTAATTGCAAGCTTATTTCTCACAATTCTCAGTTTATATCCCACAATTCTGAGAAAAGACGTCTGAATTATGAGAGGAAACCCTTTTATTATTCCTTTATTACAGTAATGCACTTATAATAGAAGTCTATGGGACAAGACATTAAACAGTCCGTTGTTAGTATCCTTGTGCATTTTGAGTGAAAGTTACAGGGTTTACCAACTTTATATGGTCATGAGAGAAAGACTTTGACAAAATTAGCTATTTTATCATGCAGCTATATTCGCAACTGTGTGTATTTTAACATTTATGTGCAGTTTCTTTTACTTCTTCCAAATGAACCCATGATATTCCTTTAAATTGTCAGAATGTTTACATATTAGAAATGTAAGTTTTTATTAAGAGTTATATCTCCAAAGCAATAGTATGTAAATATCCTACTAATGCTTTTTGAGTTATATTTATCAGAGATATAGTTGGTTACTGTATATTCTAGATTTCTCCATACAGTTTGGAAATGGGAACAATAAGACGGTTTTGGGGGAATCTGAATTACTTCCATCACTGGTTTTTCTTTAAGGTCAATGCATATATTGTAACCCTGCTTGAGTTACACGTTACCATAACTACAGATTTTGTTAGCAGTGAAACTCTGAAAATCTGGCCCGGATTTTAATCACTGTGGCTAAGTATTAAGACTTTGCAGATGTTAGTTGCAGATGTTTTCTGGTTCAAAAGGGCCACGACTGGTTTGTTTGAAGAAAAGGGACTCTTTCAGTGGGTCAAGCTTTTCCCTGTGCATGCATACTGTAGACTGGATTTATCATTCATAGAAGAATGTTTTTCTCTGTAGTTGTGTCTTAACAGGCAAACATATGTTTTCAGGCTGGATCAAGGTCTTAAAATAGTGTTTAAGAATAGATCATTTCATTCGTACAATCTGTAATGGTTTTCATCCCATTTCAGTGTCATTATGCAGGAATTTGTAGCTTTTCAAAAAATTCAGCATCTGATATTTTGTGTCTGTTTATTGCAACATAATGACAAGTTGGGCTTTCTGTATTATGAAATGGTGCTTGTTCATTCCCAGCTTGGCTGCACGTCTTACACATCACTGTTTTCAAAAAGTTTTTAGTTATTAAATAACAACAAAAAAAGAATCTAAATTTCAATCCATGTCTGCTTTTGTTTCTAAAGCTCTGCGTAATGTGTAATATTTATGCTTTATATTTTAGCTTAGATTTGATATTTATTTTCTAAATAAGAATGAAATAATTTAGTATTGAATATATACACTGAACAAAATTATAAACGCAACACTTTTGTTTTTGCCCCCATTTTTCATGAGCTGAACTCAAAGATCTAAGACTTTTTCTATGTACACAAAAGGCCTATTTCTGTCAAATATTGTTCACAAATCTGTCTAAATCTGTGTTAGTGAGCACTTCTCCTTTGCCGAGATAATCCATCCACCTCACAGGTGTGGCATATCAAGATGCTGATTAGACAGCATGATTATTGCACAGGTGTGCCTTAGGCTGGCCACAATAAAAGACCACTCTAAAATGAGCAGTTTTACTGTATTGGGGGGTCCGAAAACCAGTCAGTATCTGGTGTGACCACCATTTGCCTCACGCATTGCAACACATCTCCTTCGCATAGAGTTGATCAGGTTGCTGATTGTGGCCTGTGGAATGTTGATCCAATCCTCTTCAATGGCTGTGCGAAGTTGCTGGATAATGGCAGGAACTGGAACACGCTGTCGTATACACC